GAAACTGGCTAGCAAATGTGACTACAGAGTGGAATCCAATGCCCATTTTCTCAACAAGTTCATCGACGTCGGTACCCCTGTGAGATACACTACTTTCGCAGGTCTTGCTCTCTCGCCGCTTCCTCAAAAGGAGGTGCTTTGGGAGGTTCAGAATGTTGAAACATGGAGGAGAGAATTTGATATAACTCTAAGTGAGAAAAGCCTGTTTGTCTTGTCGAATGATGACTAATTAGTGAAGGGCTCTTGGAATATGCTGGAATATGCACAAGTGCTGTTAATTGGAGGGAATGGTATGCGGAGATGGATTTTTTTTGTACTTTGATCACGATTGCCTCCTCTCTTCCACGAAGTATTAGTTAGAGCTTTAGCAGTTGAAAGCAATATTTGAAGCTGAATTGCCGTGGAAAATATGGATTTCCCTGGATGTATACGTGCTGAGCGGATAGCAATGACCTCAGAAACTCATAAGCGCGACACTAAATCTGCACATAAGGCCCGCTTCCCCTCAAATTTGAACTAGGACTCAGGTGCCCCCTCTCTTAAAATAAACTATTAGGGCCAGGAAGTCAACGTGCGCTCATAGTAGATTTATGTCGAAATATACCCTACTTGAGTGGTAGACTTCTACCCCCTTCGCGTGGAGATATTCAGGATCTCTGAATCTTTCGACTGAGGTCCGTTTTCAGTTCACGGGTGGAGAGTATATCCTCAGGTGCCCAGGGTGGGGACAAGCTGCAGTAGGGCCGCGATTCTCTTACGTAAAAGAGGTGCGCATCCGAAGACACGTGCACCGCTTTTATAAAGAAGTAATTACTCTTCGTCTCCTCGCCCAATCGCAGCTTCCCTCTGCTCTTAGCAAAGAATTAATGCCCAGGCCATCCCTCGAATTCTTGTTCTCCAATTCTAATCTCCAAAAATAATATCCCATTCTCGTTTCACTATCGTTTCTGCCATTCGTCATTATCATATGTTACGTTTCCTCTTTTCCCCTCCGTTCCATCGACTATCAAACAGACAGCTCAAAAAACTTCTCCTTCTCCTTCTCCACACCTTCTCCTTGCAACTCCACCCTCTTCACGGGACTCTTCGGCACCAAGTTAAACACCATTCCATCCACAAATACATCTCTCCCTGCATCCCTATTGTTCTCGTCCCCACGCCCACCCCTCATCTTAACCGGGGGAAGCGGATTCAGTGGACTCACATCGCCCACATCGCGATACCCTTGGCCAAACCCTCCATTCCTACTCGCAACATCCCTCCTCACAAACGTATTCGCATACCTCCCCTCACCCCCTCCAAGCTCCATCCCCATCTTCCCGCCATCAACATCACTCCGCCAATCCTCACTATTATTACTAGAATGAGATAATTTCGACCTCTGACTTATACTCCGCGCAATCCCCGGTGGAAGCAGTGTATCTTCCATGGAAGGAAGGAGCGGAGAAGGAGGTGGGTACTCTGCTTTACCCAGGCGGTGATTGCGGAAGAAGCGGCGGATGAAGAAGAGGCAGACTACGGAGAGTACTGCTGCTCCAACTGTTTTTCATCTTCATCAGCCTCTGTCTTATCTCAAATCTTAAAACCAAAAACAGAGGGGAGGGGAGATTCACCAGCCGCAGAAATCCCAATAATCCTCGTGGTATTACTATGCTTACTAGAAGTAGCAACAACGCCATTTGCGCCCGTCCCACCTCCATTATCAACCGTCCCGCTATTAGTACCCGTATTCGTTCCTGTGTTTCCTCCTGTGCCTGGGAGTCCGACACCAGAACTCGAAGGTTCGCTATCTGGGGCGGCGGTGAAGGATGTCAGGAGCGTGGTTTGAAGGGTCGTAGATGGTTGTGTTTGAGTGAGTGAAATCAGCGAGGAGGGTGAGTGTGATGAGATGCTTAAGGGTGGCGCTTGGGTGGCTGTGGATGGTGGGATGGTTGTAGATACTGGTGGGGCTGGTGCAGCGGTGGAGGTTGCTGTATGTGGGTTGGCTCCTACTCCGAGAGATAGCACGGGAGCTGAAGTAGGACCTGATCCGACGCCCAGGAGGGGTGCAGTGGAGCCGCCTAGCGGATCAACACCAACGGATAATAGGGGTGCGGTGGTTGGTCCCGATCCGACACCTAGAAGTGTACCGGTAGGATCAATGCCAACGGATAGAAGAGCCACTGGAGTTGGTCCTACACCAGCACCAATCAGAGGCCCAGAAGTCGGAGCAATACCCACGGAAAGGAGAGGGTCGGATGTTGGTCCCAATTGTACGCCCAACAAGGCTCCTCCATCAGCGGATGATGATCCTGAATCGCCTCCCAGTGTGTCAAAAAATAATCAAAGCTAATTAATTAGAATTAATTATAATTAATTATAATTGAGTATGATTTGATTAGCTTGATTTTCATGATAATTAATTATAATTAATTATAATCATCACGTGATAATACAAAAGTATACTTTCTTAGGCATTTTTAAAGATTATTAAATAACTAATGACTATATTAATAAACTATAAACAGAACTTATGAAACATATATAAGAGTATAAAACTAGTCTAAATCTGGAATAAAAAACTGGTTATCCTCCTTAGAAACCTCCTCTTTATCTTTTTTATCTTTATTTTCTTCCCTTTTTATTTCTTCTTCCTCGTTTATAAATACCCCCCAGCTCTTAAGACATATAATCTTCTCAAAGGTACTCTTATTAAGTCGATTACGTAGTTTAGTATTAATAAGAGCCCCTTGTGAGAAGAAACGCTCGCTAGCAGCGGACGAAGCGGGTATTCCTAAGTACTTCCTTGCTATAAGGGATAAAATAGGAAATCTAGCTTCATTAGCTTTCCAATAATCTAAGGGCCGAATCTATAGCTAAATTAGTACTTATATATAAATAAATTATAATAAAGGGATTAGTAGTTCCTAAGAAAATTTGAAGTGAAGTAAGTGAATTTTACGTACTTTTTTATCTGCTCTCTTTTCTTCTAAATACGTTATTAATTCATCTTCTATTATATCCTCTTGATTATTTATATAAATATCAAGTTCGTCTTCGTCGAAATCTTCCATAGACGTATCAGAACTAGAGTCTTGAGGATTGGCTATTAAATAGTCTCGTTTATATCTATATAAAAATTAGTAATTTAAAAATTTAAAAGTTAAATAAAAATATATACTTATACATTATAGTCTGTTTCAAGCCTATTATATATATCAGATACCATTCCGGGAGCTAATCCAATTCCGGCTAGTCCTGCTCTTTTAATTCGAGGATCAAGAATAAGAGCTAAATATAAAGCTTTACTTTTATTATCTAAAATGCCGGTTTTAGGATAATATTTTCGAAGCTTAGCTATTCCCTTATTAATAGCGTTTTCGAAGGTTTTATCCTATTTAAAATTAGTATATTTATTAATATAATAAGAAATAAAAGAAGAAAACTTACTTTAAACTCTCTTTTAAAACCTTTAAGTTTATTATATATTTTATATACTTCAGGTATAATATAATATATAGTAGGGTAGTTTTCGGCTTGTAATTTAGTCGTAGCCTTAACAAATATTGAAATTATATTTAAAATATTATTTAAATAAGTAATTTCAATATTAGTTAAAACTAGACTTTTATTTTTAAAAGCCTTAGATTTCGAGCTATTAATTACTACTTTAATAGCTTCATATATATATAAAAAGTCTTTTAATATATAATAAGTCGAAGACCACCGCGTTTTTTGATCTATAAATAATTAGTATTAATAAATAATTAAATAATTAAATAATTAAATAATTAAATAAATAAATAATTACTTACCGAGTTAAGGGAACCGAGCATTTTCTATATTAAAAGCTTTAATCTGAGCTTCTAATAGCCGTCGATTTTCCTGATTATATTTAAGACCTATAATAGTCTTTCTAATCTTTCTCCAAATTAATAAATCTATAATTTATTAATAAATCTCTTATAAATTATATGAGAAACTTACTTATTACTTGTTCTACTTCTTCTCCTTCTTCTCTTTCTTCAAGTTCGTCCTTTTCTTGCTCGTATAAATCTATAGAATAAGAAGTATTATAATCGTTCTTAATAAGAGCTTTTAAGATATCTTGAATTACTAAGTTTAATATATGAGCTATATAAGGAATATCTCCTTGAAATTTAATACCTTCCTTATTATAATGCTTTATAAAAGCTTGTAATAAGATATTGTTTAAGCTAGCATTATCTCGAGTAATACTAAATAAAATATATTAGTAATTTTTTTTTAAAAAAAAACAAGATTTATATTACTTACCTAGTAATATTATATTCGATACTATAGGCTTTTAAAGTTTCTAATAGAACCGAATTCATATATTTACCGCTATGAATATCTTTTAAATCTTTTATAGCTAATAAATAAGATTTTAATTTAAAATTCTTATTTATAAAATATCTAAAAATTAAATTAGTAAATATTTTTATTAATAATTATTAATAAGAATAACTCATATAGTAATTCCTAAATAAGCCTTCTGATTTATAGCTGTCCAGGCATCTAAAATAATAGAAAAAGCACTATTTAATAAGATATTATTCGATAATTCTTCTTTAATAAGATTACTATTATTATTATATCTTAAAGTAAGCTCATCTATAAGTACTTTAGAATATAAAGGTAGTACTTCACTATATAAAAGTTAGTTATATATTAATATAAGTAATTTTTAAATAAAACTTACTAGTTTAAATATTAAAGTAGCTTTTTAAAGCTTGGAGTCATAATTACTCTAAAAGAAATATTATTATTAACTATAAAGTCTAATAATAATCTTTTAAAGTAAACTATAGTAAAGCTTTCACTAGTTTGACTAGTGGCTTTACTAAACGATTCGGTAATAGACATTTGATTAGAGTCTTAAGAAGTAGCTATAAAAATTATTAGTTATTATTTTATAATTAATATTAATTACTTACGAAGTTCATTGACCTTTAATATAGCATCTATATTAACTGACTTATGCGTAGTAAGGTAGTGAGCTTTATAATTGCTTATTGAATTACCGATTCGTTAATTTTTGAATTTTTTACTATAATTATATTAGTTATTTAAAATTAAATTAATAATATATATTACTTACGTACACCCCTTAAAGAGGCATCGAACAGTAACTGTTCGATAATTATTAATATTTTCCGGATTAGCTTTAGGAGAGTCTAAAGTCTTTTTCATTAAGCCAAGCTTAAAAATAGGAGGTTGTTTCGAAATTGGTTCTAGTTCGAAATCCTCTTTATTTTGGAGGATATTAAGGTTAATAGTGGATTGCTGAGACATTTTCGAATATATCGAGTAATAATAAGTAAGTTTATAGTCGAAAGCTTCTTAATTGGAGCTATAGTTATTGAGATATTTATATGTGAAGTAAAAAGAAAAGGGAGTAACAAGAGGAAAATCACTTATTTATATATAAATTCTCTGGAATCTAGAAGATTCTTTAATAAGCATCTGATTAGTTATAATCCCCTAATCTCAAAGCATCTATTTGTAAGAGGGCTTATTTTTAGCTATTTTATTTATAATAATTCGATTTATAAGGTGGCGAGGAATTACTAGAAAATCGAGGAGGTTCTAGCGCCTTCGGCTCGTGCCGCTTCGCTTACCAAGCGGCGCGATACCCGATTTAGTAAGGAACGCCTGAAGCGATACCTAATGCGGCTAGCCCAAAACCTTATTTGCGCTTCCGAAGCTCCGGAGTCATGTGCGTAGTCACGTGATGATTCTAATTAATTATCTCTGATTATCTTTGATTATAATTAAGTATGATTTGATTAGCCTGATTTTGACTTGATTTGATTTGAGTAGGGGGGTCTAATCAACTCAAACCTAATCATTTGACACACTGTCGCCTCCCAGAACGGGTGATAGAAGACCACTCGCTACACTTCCAACTCCTCCTAGAAGACCGCTGTCGGTAGATGGAACCGAGCTCTACGGATCTATGAGCCAATCTCTTGAGAATTTTCGAAATTCACTTACGGTTGGCACTGGAGCGGCAGCCGGTGTAGCAGCAGGAGCATCACCGCTTCCTAGAATCCCACCCAATAATCCTCCATCTGGAGGAGCAGCAGCGGACGCAGTCGATGATGGCGCATCGCTTCCACCTCCGAGAAGCCCACCCAACAACCCATCTCTCAATGAAAGAAAGTCTCTCCTACTTCGTCTCTCGACGCTTTCCCCAGCCACATCCCTCCGCCAAATATTAGGCCTCATCCTAAGTAATTATAAAGAAAGAGCCGGCTTAGAAGAAGAGGAGGAGGGTCCTGCCCGATTTCGTAAATCGTAACTAAAAGATCATACTATTAAACGTTGCAGTACCGTACGTCGTGTTGGAGAATACAGAAAGGAAGGATCAAAATGCAACAGACAAAAAAAGGGTCGAAGCAACGAATACGCATGCTGAAAGCTGTCAGCTTCCTCATCCTTGAAACTTGATATATAGGCAGGGCGGTCATTCTGCGCCCTCAGGACGTTTTGCGCCCTGCAGCCTTCCGCTCAATGCGCAAAGATATCGGGGAAAGGGGTGCACACAGCCTCCCGGGAGAACGCTAATCGAACCAAACGTCGGTTTGCTTTGCGTTGCTGCAGAAAGAAGAAACCCCTGAAACTGAAGATCGTGTTTTGGAGACCGAATGTGGTTGAGGTCGACCACTCGCTTAAACCCCCTACTGGCTCGCTAACGGCCTCAAACCTGCTGTATATTCACCTGTCTGTGCGGTCTATGCTAGACGGACACGCGGGAAGCATGACGAGCGCGAATAGATCGATCTGATGAAAAGCAAATATGTTAGGGTGTGGTTTATAGGCAGTGCCTCGCTTGTCAATCTTCATTAATGACGTCGCACGGTCACGACATATTGAGTATTGATTGGAACACGGTATCCCGCCTCACGACCGATTTGGCAGCGCCTTCGCAAAGCTTGCTCATTCTGTGGCCTGATGCTGCGCATTAATATGGAGAACCGCCGGCTATCATCTCCCGTCAACACTCAACTAGTGACTGTCAATACACGATGGACCTGACTTCAAAGTAAGTCATGTGATATTCACGTGACTATCAAAACAATCCCACTTCAAATGTTACGTTCCGACGAGTAGGGATCCTAGATTGCTGGTTCACTTATTGAATGCCGATATGCTCCAATTTGGGCTCGTCAAGCCCTGTGACCACTTCACCATCCATAACGTTCTGAACATAACACTCCCCAACAAGCTTCAGCCCACCATTTTTCTACGTCAACACGAACGGCACAGAGATTCGGGAAATGATAAACGGAAGATCCCCATTCTTTGCTTCCAAAGGCGTCAACCTAATATATCCCGTGTCCAGTACCAAAAACCTGCGACCACGGCAAGAGCGTAGCATCTTCCCGAGCTGGCGTATGTAACTTGGCGGGAGACTCTTCATCCATTTCCGAATTGGAAACCTAGATTCTTCGTTGCCATCATCAGTAACAAATCGCTCGACTACCCGTTTGAGAACGTAAGAGTACACGACATCACCGGTAATGACTGTGTATTCGAAGATGCCGTCAGCTCTTCCATCTATTCGATCGTTGTCACTGCGTGTAGTAACGGTACCTGCCACAAGCACAGGTCTAGAAGAATTTCCAGTGCCAGGTGCTAATTTCACAGGGAATTATTTGCCAAAGTTTCGAAGTACACCCATGGCTGAAGAAAGTGCTTTCTATAACGAAGTAATAGTAATTATATTATATTATATAACTATATAATTAAAATCTATATTAGAATAACAGTGATTTTATTAGGAAATCACTTGTTTATTAATATTAGTAATAAAAATATTTACTCTAGTGTGGTGGGGATTTTGACTCTATGGTCACGTGCCCGATCAGGTGACCTCCGGACGTCCATACGTCCGGTTTCATATATATTACCCGCTCTCCTTCTTAGTTCTTTAGAACAAACCAACCTTCACTCCTTAATTCCACTTCTCGTACGCTGTAATCCCACGCTATAGAAGCCCATTCTATCTCTATAATTACTACTTGTTTTATATCCCTATTATACTAGTAATAATAAAGCAAATAAAGCTAGAGAAATCAAAAGTATTTTAATATATATTTGAAAATTAAAACAAATAACCTTAAATTATAGTTATTATACTTTATATATTCTAGTTAAGTAAAAGTTGTTTAGTTTAAAGTGTCTTGAAATTAAAAAAGTATGGATCTTGCTATTAGAATAGAAGTATTATCAAATTTAAACGCTATATTATACGTTTATACTAAATTTCTGAGTTCTTCTTATATTCATATATATACTTGAAATCTCACTTCTGGGTTTGCTATTGTGGTACCACAATATCTCCCTCTTAGCTTCACTCAAACAACACACGCACTACACTCCTTCAAAATGCGTCCGACTTAAATTCTTCTTGCCCGCATCATTCAAATCATACTTCACACTAAAATGGTTCGTCATCATAATCCCCTGCTGGTTCGGCAGTATATTCTCCTCGCTATCATTCCTCAAGTTCATTCCTTTCGACGTTTTTGTCGCGGAAGCGAAGGCGCGAGAGCGGACGGCTCCGGTGCCACTGAGCCTGGTGTTCGTGTCGGATCGTTGGATATAACCCGCTCCGATGCTCCCGCTGGCGTAGACGATGTGGAATACTTTGACGAAGAATGGGCGGATTGCGGGAATGCAGGCTACGATGAAGATTACCCACATCTCAGTTCTATAACGTTTGTGTTAGTAAAAAAATTCGAATGGGATTATGTTGTAGACGAAAGGAATGGGACTTACGCGGCCCATATATTTAGACTTGCGAGTTGGACTGTTCCCTTGTGTTAGTGCTGCACCCTTGAAGAGGCAGAAGAATTTCTGAAGTTGGAGGTTGGAGTTGGAAGGATGGTCTTACAAGTAATGTCTGAAGTTGCGGTGAGCGTACTCAGTTCTCTGGTCTTAATAGATGCACAAACGGCAGCACTGCATTTAGGTTAGAAGTCGGGATCCAAAACACAAACATGGAGAAGTCTTACACAACACCAAAGCCAAACAGGGTCATGAGCCCAATTTTAACGTGAAGCTGCATCTTAGGGTTCCAAAAGATAAAGATTGGGTATATAGCTATAGCCAGGTCCAAGAAAGCACCAAAGCCTAACGAGCCTACCGACATAAGTCCATGGTTTTAGGGCATTTCGCTAAGAAACGAACCCCATAACTATTTTGGACACTTTTAATTTATATTCAGAATTGAGTTTAAAGGCCTTCTAAACTCATTCTGGCTTTTGTTATTTTATGCGCTTGAATTATATAAGGTTTTAATCTATAGTTATCGAGAAATCGTGAAGTGAAGTGCGCGACTTCGGTTTTTGCGATGCCTGAAAACACCGCTAAAACCATGGACTTATGTCGGTAGGCTCGTAAGAAGCAAAGTGTCAGCAAAACCTGCCTAGGTGCGGAAATACGTGTGGCTTACTCCCTTGAAAATACCCATACATCTGATTCCTAGCACGGCCAGTGCAGCTGCCAGGAATAGACTCATCCCATAACTTCGCCGTGGGCGTACATTGAACCCAAATGATAGGAAGAACGATGACATTCACAACCACATTGCTCCCGGCGAAAATCCACAGGACCCATCTGCGTGTTCCATGGACAGCGGATCCTTCAATCTGCAAGATTAAAGAGATGGTTGCGAGTTTGCCGGTGGAAATTGCGATGGTAACAAAGGTGGTGAAAATCCATTGATAGAGTTCGTTCTTGACAATAGTTTGAGGAGAATCTGCGAGGAGAGTCGCTAGATGTTCACCAAGCCCGTAGCTCACCAAAATGGTTAGAAAGACGGTTGCGAAAATGGCGAGTAGCTAACACCATTCCATTGAGCTTTGATTATACTAGTTGAGTGTGAGAAAACGAAACTCACATAGGTAGTTAAGCACCACCAAAAATCCGATTTCCAGCGCTTCGTGATCCATCCGTTTGTGTAGACCCTCAGCGCAAAAGCAACAGTACCGAGCCCACATTCTGCCCAAGTTACAGCCAGCGCTGTTGCACCGAGGGAAGATTGGTTTGGTCTTACGAGTGAAGTCATAATAAGAGAAGCCTTGTGCTTATTCAATTGAGAAATGGATCGACAGAGATCAGCAATGAGACGGGGGTTTCGATCAAATATCTCGACAACCCCCTTTATATAAGCATAATCTAGATCATGCTCTCCAGAGTGGGCGATCACCATAGGAGTTCGAGGAGACCATTGTGGCGTTCTGGGGCAGGTGCCTGGGCGAATAGGAAGACAGACCAGCTTCGTTCCAGCATCCAAGCGGCACTTTAGAGTTGGCAGACTCCTCTTACCACGCCCGATTCATGCATAGAATTCACATGTAATGTTTCATTTTTTTATTGGTCGCTAATTTGGTAATTTAAGTTTGGCGTGGAGGCTATCCCGCGCGGGAGATCTGTTAAGTGTTAAATGAGTATTTCCCGAAAGAAAGTTCCAAGCTGGGTAAGGGGACCTGGACTTTTTGGCTGCAGTGCTGCACGAAGATGTTTGGAATTCATGGATCCTTGGTAGCAGAGCGCATGGCATCTCTGTCAATTTCATATCAAACACGAGTTTAAATTTTGGGGGGGGGGGGGGTTTCTGGTATCTCTTTTGAGAGCAGCCATGAAAATGGGTGACGAACGGAAGAATTTCTAGCTAGCATTCACCGACATTTCTGCTACCATTTCATTGAGTAGAAAACTGAATAGGATAATCAGAAAGGGCGAATAGGCTGCTGGAGTCTTTTTTTTAGATGCTGGTGATGAAACTAATTCGTATCTGCAAACTCAATAACAATGTACAGAAACCTAAAAGAGTTTCAAGGTTAGGACTCTGCGAAGCACAGATCTTCAGATAAATAAACCAATAAACATTCTTCCCCCTAAGAAATAAAACTCTCCATACATAACTTAATAACATTTTCAAAGCAGTTCCAACGTATCTACCCTAACAAATGTAGCGAGACAGCTACAGACAGGAGATGAAAGCCGATAGAAAGTTCGCATTGATTGATTTCTTGTCTGCGCCAGCCTGAAACCCCCCCGCTCTCGTAACATAAGCCTCCTGACTCCAGTCGCTCTCCAAATTTTTCTCCTCCCCGGCCAACATTCGCGAACAGCACCGCTTTTGACTTTCGGTAATTGGACACTTGACACAAGTCCCCAAACCTAGACCAAATAATGAAGACGGCATATGGACGCAAACATTATCAGCAGAGCTTTGAGCAGTACCCGTATTGGAAGTAGTAGATTTGTTCCACTCGTGCTAGTCATCACAGTTGAACCATGGCCAGCGCTTCCGCCAGTGCCAGTTGGTCCACCACTAGTACCAGATGTTATACTTGTCGGCGCTGGTGTTGCAACTACAACATCAGGAAGAGCAGAACACTCCTCAGTTTTTTTACTAGGAATGACTCGCTGAGCATTCCCACTGAACCGCATTTACTTCAACACACAAGGTCGCCAGCGCTAGTTGAGTAAGGTTTGGACTTGAGACAACAAATTTGCCTTCTGCACTGAAACTCGTGTGCCGTGGCAAGCCTAAAATTGGACGCCGAATTCTGATGCTCCAGTCTGGAATTCTGGAGGGTAGACCGGGAAGCTGGGAGTGTGCGTTTGCTTCACAGAGAAGTTCGAGGCCGATGCTGTTTTATCAAGTATGTCGCAACATCTGTGTAGATACGGGTTACTGAGTGGCCGTCATTTGGGATGATGTCTGGGTTGATACCGGCATGCTAAAGCAGTGGGAGGAGGGCATAAATTTTGTCATGAGGATCCGCAATGTCGAGCTTGGAGTAGTTCCATCAACATTTGGTATTCGACTGCGAAATTGTCGGCTGTAGTAATCTGACGACGCCCACGACTTGTGGCAAATGCTCAACCCACTTCGCGAAAACGTTGAATTCTTTGAAGTTTTTGAAGGCATCCCAAGCAATGGACTTTTCGCCGTAGTATACGATGGCGGTCTTTGAAAGAATTGCCCTCTTGCAGGACCCATATGCGATTGAACCATGGTCGGCTGAAGAGTGATTCCAGCATCTGGGTTTCTGGTCGTATGATCCGTTCTTCTGAATGTTTGTAAGGGAGCTCGTAGCGGAAATCAGGATCATCTATCTGATGGAGCCACTCGATTGCCGAGCCGCTCTTATCTGCGCTCTCCCCAAGAAGAATGAACACCCGCTCAGCTTGATTGTATATCTTGGCCATGAGTCCTAATTGATGGCTCCTCTCAGGAACATCGGTCTGACCCATGCAGATAGCCAATCCAGACAGTCCTGAGAGAGTTTTTGAGGCGTAGTCGCCCCAATGCACCAGCACAATTCTGAGTGACCAGCAAATGGCCCCACGATCTCCTGGCGCGTCTGTGCATATGATTGGCTGTTGGTCAACTGTCTTCCCTAGGTGCACGAAAATGCTTCGTTATTTGGTGCATTGCGATCTCGGGCGGTGAAGAGTCTGCAACAGATCGTATCCTGTGGCTTTCCTGGTTGAATCTCGACCAAACAGAACTCATCTTCAAGGTTCAGCGGGAGACTAGGACGGCCCACGAGCACATCCGACGCCATCTCGGCGGCTCCTTGGTGGTCTGCACGACTTGAGAGACTGTAAAGCGAACCAGTGAGATGCAGGTTGCTGGTGAGAATAGCATATTGAAGAGAGGAAGTCACTCCTTAACGCCGAGAAACCAGGCATCAACACTAGTTTGGGCAAGCATCCAAGATTTGCAGACAACAAATCAAGGGAATTGCCTCTTTTGATGAAGGAAACCATGTTATTGGACATGGACTTTCTTGGACAAATTTCTAATGGTGGCAATTTACATACTCAAAATGAAATTTAAACGCTGGCCCTCAATATAGAACTCTTGGGGAGCAGCAGGCCTTCGAAGCGGCCGCCGGAAGTTTCAAGTTAACCCTGCTCCGTAAGCCAAACGGAGTATTGATTGGATAACCTCGGCAGCCGTCGCGCCCAGTAACGCCCCTCCCAGCGGCCCAGATGAAAATAGAAACAAGATTGGTGCGCTTCCCCTCACCTTGCAGCTAGTACAGTGCTGTCTTATTTTTATCTTGTCAGCATCATCCACTAACTCCCACTTTCAAAATCGTCTCTCTCTCTTGAGAACATACTCCAACTTCCTCACCTACCCGTTGAATCGCCATATCATCGAAACCACCAATATGAAGTTCTCCGCCGCATTTCCCATTGCGCTGGCCTGCGCCTGCTCATGCGCTGCAATCGAAGAGTACGTCCCGCTCCGCCCCGCCCCGCAGTTCCCCGCCCCCAATACTGAAGTGATGCCTCAGCTAATTCACCACAGTATCCAACAAAGAGCCAGCTCTGCAACTTGCAGCATCGGCATTGCGCGCATATTCGGGGACATAAACTGGGACATAACCGTCTACAACTGCCCTGCCTCAGACCGGCAAGACATCAACGTTATTTCCACCCTCCCAAACGCGGTCATGGACAAGGGGCAATCCGTGACCGTTTCCTCGGGCGTGCCGCATCCTATCACCATCACGAATGTGGACAATGCGCCGGTCTTTAATTATGATATTCAGGATCTGAAGGCACCATTGGATAACCCGGATGTGGGGATGACGAAGGTGCAGTTGACGTTTGAGATCAAAGATGTTGGGCTAAAGTGGACGACGAAGGATTGTTGGGCGGGGAGTGTGATCTTCTCGGCTGGGTGGGAGAGCTGGAGTTGTAATTACGCTTGTAATCTTACGACGACTGCGTCGAGTGAGCTTTGATGGGATAAACAGGGTTGGGATTGACACTGGCGTCTGGGAGGTTGGTTTTGGGTATGGTAACATTGGGAATGGCATTCACTTGTCGATATCAATATGATATTTCTCGTGAAGTAATTTAGAGAATGATACCTCTTTCAAGTCTTAAGTCTGTTGTAGAATGTGTTAGACACCATGCGGCGGAACTGGCCAGTAGGCTTGCGGGCCGTTTTTGGACCCCACGGTTACACATAACCGATGCCCCGCACCAAAACACGTCCCGCATCAAAAACACGCGAATTCGCATTTCGCCCCGAACTTTAATAATTAATTACTTTATAATCACTTATCCAAATAAAATAATATTAAATTACAGGATAGAGTCAATTGAGATCTTGAACTTGTATAATTTAGTTTTTTTATCTAAAACGTTATGGTAGCGTAATTATACGTATACTCGTTTTCACCTATACTACCCCCGATATAACTATCTTACTAATTTGGGCAATTACCTCTTGCTATACTATTTCCTTTGCAGGGCGCCTAGCTTTAATAGGTGCTTTCCGCTTAGTTAATACTATTAGAGCAGCTTTTTTTGCTTTGGAAATAATAGAAACTGGCTGCTTCTTTAGTACTTTCTTGGCGGACTTATTAGCTAGCTCCAGGTCCTCCGCTAATTACTTCTGGATAGCCTTAGCCTCCCTATCTATCGCTTTTTTTGCCTTCTCCTATTTATTTCTAAGGGCATTCGCGGCCCTTTTAATTATTCTTTCTAATTTAGCTTCCTCCTCTATAATTCTCAGCCTTTCCTTCTCTTCTTAATACTCCCTAGTATTACGTGGCACCAGTCACGTGGTGCCACTGCACGTGACTTAGCATATAGCCAGTGCTTTTAGCCGGGCGCACAGCCTTTAGCTCAATTCAAGCTCTTTACTACTACTATAATATTACCTTATTATAATACCTAGCCTTAATAATCTTCCTAAAAAAGTAGTAATTAATTAAGCCCTTATTTGCCTCGCTAGTAAGATTCAAATAAATGCCCTAATAGTCGGACTTGACGTCGCGCTAAAGGGGCCCTTCCCTTTAGTCGGGGAAAGCAAGTTGTCCCGGGAAAGCAAGATGTCTCGCACCAGCCTTTTTTGCCTTCTAAAAAACAATACTAGGAACTAGCTATAGAAAATCTAATTAATATATTTTATTCACGATCTTATAGTTACCTATCGCATAATTAAGGGCTAAAGTTTTAAGTAAAAGAATAAAAATTTATAATTAAGCAAAAGTCGTAGATCTAATACTCGCGAAATGGTCGCGAACAAATAATTCTTACAATTTTTGTATTTCTCGTAATTTTATTATTAAAACCTTAATAACTCTCTACCCACATCCTTTTTTAAGATTTAGAGAATCGTATCTAGTTTATAAAGCTTATATTTTTAATTTTATTATTTAGAATTATTTAAAAAGGTTAAGGTTTCAAGTTATTAAGGATTTTATTTAGTGCGGGACATCTTGCTTTCCCAGAACAACTTGCTTTCCCCGACTAAAGGGAAGGGCCCCTTTAGCGCGACGTCAAGTCCGACTATTATTAACTCTTCTTTTTTTAAAGCTTAATTACTTTATATAAATCTCGATTTTTATATTCCAGAACAGAGACTTATATAATAAGATAAAATATAATTAAGAAAATTATCTTAACCTTATTAATTATAGGTTTTTTATTATATACTTAATAAAATTAATAAATTAATTTTATAAACTTTAAAAAACGTAATCCAAATAGTTTTTTAGGTAATATAAATATAAAATAAGTAATAGTCTTAATAATAAGATTATTATTAGTTAATTATATTTCTAATTATTAGTTTACTAGTAATATATAGTACTATTATATAGTTATAGAATACTATTTATATAAGGTTAGTAAAGTTATTATTTAGAAATAGGAATTATAGTATTATAATATTAATATATAATTCCTAAATCTACTAAGCCTAAAGGAATCTAGTTTACTAGTCGAGTTACTTATAGGATATAAGATTATATAACTATATCTCGTATTATATATCTTATTACCTATATCCCGTATCCCGTATCCCGTAACTATATATATAATTCCTAAAGAAATAGCTATACTAATACTAGAAATTCTTTAAAAAATACAAAAAATAATATCTTTCTCTAATTATATATAAATTCCCTAATTCGGCCTAATACTAGATTTCCCAAATACTTTATATATCTATATTACTTCTAAGGTTTTAGTTATATATTAAAGGCTATAGCCTTTTATATATAACTTTTTCTTTTATAATATTCTTCTATTTCATATATTTATTTTCTATTCTATTTATATTTAACTTATTTTTCTATATCTAATTATATAGTATTTATATATTAATTAAATACTTAAAGGTATTTATTAGCTTCGATTTCGTTATAGAATTAGTAGAATTTAATTCTTTCTTAATTTATTTAATTTCTATAATCTCTTATTATTTATATATCTAATAAAGATATATTATATTAATTATTAAATACTTTTCTTAAATAATTCTTAATTTAATAAGGTATTTATATAATAACTTCGAATTTATATAAACTACTAGTAATAGTTTCATTTCTAGTATTTTATTAATTATAGATTTAATTAAAGCACCTATATTAAAGCTATAAGTTATATTATAAAGTTCTAAAACTAGAATACTTCTAATAATTCTCTTATATTTAGTAAAGAACTAGTAAATAATATTAGTATATCTAGTTCTATTTACTAGAACTAGATTATATCCGATTTAGAAGAAAAGATCTCTATTATTTATAAATAAAGTATTTATAAAAATAATTAAATATAAGAACTCTTTTACTAGCTTTATAAATCTTAGTCTTCTAGTAATATTCTTAATTTGCTATTAAATATATTTATTAAGTATCTTTATATTAGTTTTCGAGAGTTTAATAGCTTAAGTAATAATTAATAAATTATATAAAGCTTCTAGTTAATAGACTAATATAATATATACTTTTCTAGTATATTAGGTAATATATTAGTTCTTAATAAAGAGATTTTAATAAATAGTACCCCTATTATTTATAATAGTAGTATTTTTTATAGAAATAGTTCGGAGGTTTTTATATTAGTATTTTTATATAAGAATAATTCCAGTAATATTTATATAAATAATACCTCTATTAAACTTGAGATTATAGTTAAAAGTAAGGTATTTATATTTCTTAGCTAAGAACTTAGCCTTATAAAGCTTTAGTTATTCTGCTTTTATAAAATTATTAGTTCTAATAAATAGAGTATTATTAGTTTAAAGGCTAATAATTCCGAAGAATTACTTATTATAAAAGAGATAAGAGTTATAAATTAATTATTTTATAAAAAGCTTATTAATATAATAGAAATAATAAGTTTTAAACTAGTAATTCCCAGCTTCTAATATATTATATAATAATTTTATAACTTTTAGAATTAAATTATTATTTAGATTTAGCTTTCTAATAAGTTTATAAAGTGAGTTAATATAAAAATTATAATTAAATAAGGTTATTAATTAGATATAAGCTTATAAGATATTATATAAATATAGTTCTATAATATCTATTATTATAATAATAATACTAAGGATAATTCTCTAGCTAATATATTAAATAATAAGTAATTATATTAATATTATATATTTCTTACTATTATTATAAGTTTAGATAACTAGTTTCAACTTCTTAAACTCTCTTTCTATACTCTTATTTTTAATCTTATTAATAAACCGGGAATTAAAGATATATATTTTCTTTAATACCTGAAATCTGGAAATAACTTTAAATATATTCTTTTCTAGAAAGCTAGTAACTTTAACTTAGTAGGAGTTCTTATATAAGTTATTATCTTATAGAAATATTATAAAATCCGGGTTCTTATAAGGGTATTCTCTATTATATTTTAGTAAAATAGCAGGAATAGCAGAAGAAATTATACCTATATTACTTTTAGCTTTATTATAAAGTTCGGGAATAGATTTAGATTTAAAGCTATTAGTAATAACCTTAATATCTCCTATATAAAAAGGCTTTATAAAAGTTAAGTAAAAGGTAATATTACTATATAATAAAGCTAGTATATAGTTCTTTCCGTTAATAACTACTAGCTTATATAGCCTATTCTAACTACTAGATTAATTAGTATTTCTTTTATATTATATAAAAATATCCGAATTCAAGAAAAGTTTATAGATATTAGTAATACTAGAACTATTTCAGGTATTTAGGGCATTTATAATCTAGTATCTAACTTAAAGCTTCTGAATTTCTATTATTATCTTTTTAAATACTACTAATTACTATAATATAATTAGTAATAAAGTATTATATTCGGTTATTTAAGGCAAAATACTATAAATTAAGAAAATTAGAATAATATTATTGGGTCTAATAAAATTATTAATGGCTTTAAAAGCTATTTAAAGTATAGTATCCTTATTAATTTCATTAATTTCGGCTATAATAATAAAGTAAATATATTAAATTAGGCTATAGTAATATTCTATAATTCTAATAAAATTATAAGCTTTTATAAGAACGATTTTAATCTTAAGTCCTATAGTATTTATAAGCTAAGTAAACTCTTTACTAATAAACTACTTTCCGGTATTTACTATAATCTAATTAAGAGAACCTAAATAAGTATTAATCTAATACTACTTTAAAGTATTTCAAATATATAATATACTAATATTTTAAAGCTATTAGCTAGCTTAATATTAAGTACCTTTATTAATAATATAAAGTATAAGCTTACCGGAAATATAGAAAATATTAATAATAATAAAGTAATTAAAACTAATATTATTTCTTAGATTAAACTTGAATTATTCTAGTAATTATCCGAATTTCTAATATTATTTATAATACTTTATAAGATACCTAAGAGCTTCTATATTAATATTATAGCCTACTTATTCTAGTATATTCCGGAGCTTATTAATAGATAAATAACTAAAATAATAATATAAATATTATAATTTAATCTTTATAAAAAAGTAGAAGTTATAAATAAAGAATTTAGAAATAAAGCTTTATAAAGTAGTATTTTAAAATAGAAAAAAATATCTAAAATATTATATTATAGATATAAAATATTTATTAGAAATAATGAGATAATTAA